ATGTCAAGCATACGCTGTAATATGCTTAAAACAGGTATTTCATTACTGAATTAATCCTATTATCTAAATAAACATCGATGAAATCCTCTTACGTTAAGAGCAACACGTGACTTATTGTTCACTGATATTTGAACGATTTAATTAGAGATTAATATTATAGTAAAGTTATAACGTTATATTGTTTATAATAAGTAATCTTACCTGAGTGGGCCTTTCTATCTTTGTTAAGAAATCATGACATTATACGTTTAGTTGAAACAAAACTTGATGATAGAGATGAAATAAAACTACCATATAAAAAAGAAGATGTGGTATGATTGCCAATGAGACAACTCTCTACAACAGACCAAATGACACAGAAATTTACAACTATAGGTCACCGTACGGCCTTCAACAATGAACAAAAGCATGCAGGTTATATTCAAATTTAAAAATAAATAAAAATAAATTGCAAAACTAAAATCTGGTGGTATTTTATTTAGTGACAGACATGAATATTTTAGACGAAATTTTGTTTTACGTTATATAAATGAGTATGTTCGGTATGGGCCATATTTGGCCCCGATTATAAAGTTCAATGTTACACGATAAACATGTTTTAAGTTGACTTAAAGACATATGAGAAAGTAAGATATAACTATTTGTGTCAAAGTTTTCTTCTAATGTGTTGATTTTTACATCCCAAATAGTTCAAGATAAGAGATTTTGGCGAAATTTGACAAAATCGGGCGGAATTCAACCAAATTTAGGACCAGGAAACATAGAGCGCAGGCGTCGACAAACAAAATTTTCAAGTTAGACATGTAAACTGTCTTTACAAACATAATTTTAAAAGATCTTTTTTGTCGACGTTTGCGCTCCCTGTTTCCTGTCCAATAATCCATGGAAATTTACCCATTTTCATTGATTTTTTCGTGGAAATTCTAAATTAGTACTATTTGTGACGTCATGAATAAAACGCAGGAATCTAAATTTTCAACAAAAAGGCTTATTTCCTTTCTAGTCACTGTATTAGCTATGGTTCATTGTGATATTGGTCGATAAATCCTAATTTGATATTTAAGCTAAAAAAGAAGGGGGCCATTTTTGGGGCTTATCGAACCTACTACTTTAGAATATGTAACCATAAACTTCCAGTCGGACTTGGAAGATGGTTCAATGCAGTAAGGGAAAATAGAAAAGCTTTAGTGTAATTTATGTTATCTACATATTGGGGTCGAGTTCCATTATAGTATGAATTGTTCACATTTTATAGAAGAGAGAAATAAATTTGTAAAACAAAATTTTAAAAGAAGGCCAAATATTATACTATTACTGAAATTATTAAAATAAGATGTGGTATGATTGCCTATGAGAAATAGAACTTAACAACTATAGGTCACCGTACGGTCTTCGACAATGACTAAAACCCATACCGCATAGTCAGCTATAAAAGCTATACAATGTATATGAAATTATGTCTTCTACCAATAGGACTTATCTCATAAATTTATTTAAGTTTATAAGAATTATAAAAAAGCAAGTGTGTCCTCCTGAGTAAATTGAAATTGTTTTTTGTTGTTGTTGTTTATATCGTACTTATGTGTATGTATTTATGTGTATGTTATACATCCTTCTCTGTAACTGTGTATTTGGTGATGAGAATACAGATATATTGTTTATTATACTCTTTCAAAAATAAGACTTTCTTCGCATTCATTAGCAGTAGAAACTGGACGCTACCAAAGTATTGAGTTGTCACGTCGTATATGTACAATTTGCCGTCAGTGTATTGAAGACGAATTCCATTTCATCTTAGTGTGTCCGAAATATAAGGAACTTAGAGTAAAATTCATTAAGAAATATTACTGGTCTAGACCAAGTGTGTTTAAATTTATTGAACTTTTAAGTTTAAAGAACATCAAACAGTTAACCAATTTAGGAAAATACATTTTTACTGCATTTAAAATTAGAGACAATATTACATGAACATTCTCTGTCTGTTTACTTGTGTACTTTGTGAAAATTTGTATTGACACCGATGAACTGTAAAGTTCAAGGTAATAAAGAATAGAATATTATAATTATTCTTCCCTAAATGAGCCTTCATATTGTTTATTATACTTAATCTTGCCTGCACGGGCTTTTTTTTATTGTTTATTATACTTAATCTTGCCTGCACGGGCTTTTTTATTGTTTATTATACTTAATCTTGCCTGCACGGGCTTTTTTTTTATTGTTTATTATACTTAATCTTGCCTGCACGGGCTTTTTTTATTGTTTATTATACTTAATCTTGCCTTCACGGGCTTTTTTTATTGTTTATTATACTTTTAATCTTGCCTGAATGGATATTTTTATTGTTTATTATAATTAATCTTGACTGAATCATGGACCTTTCTATTGTTCATTATAATTAATCTTGCCTAAATAAGTATAACAGGGGTTTTCGTCGTTCCTGTTATATTTAGAATTCTGGGGGAAAGTCACTGTCTAAAGTCAACAAAACTAAGTTAAGCTTTACGATGGTTTATATATAACTTCTTCAATAGTGCAATACATTAATTACAATAAAAGTTCAACGGTAATATTCCGAAAAGATAAAACAAATGGTAATTCCAATAAATGTTCTATACTAAACACAATGAATGTCACTGTAAATGTACGGCGTCCGTACAGCTTGACCGCTGGTATCCAACTGACCATTTACATAGAAACGATCTAATATGAATTACGTAATCTTACTTAATCATAACTACATGTAATAATGAAATTTGTCCCTTAATGATTCAAACAAATAATACAATTAAAAAAACATATAATATATGATAACAAGAAATGGACAATGCTAGGATTAAAATGGATTAACTTCTCAACATGTAAGCTAACAATTTCGAGAACAATAGTCGCTTGCTTTTAGATAAAGTTTGAATTTCCACGAAATAAAACAAAGAGGAAAATATCGCTGTCACAAAAGCCTGAGTGAATCGGCTACAACCCGGAGGACTGGTATGGGTATAAATCAATTAATCATACTAGGATTAATATTTTGTACGCAAGACGCACATTTCGTCTGCAAAAAAGATTCATCAGTGACGCTCGAATAAAAAATTGAAAAAAATCATAGAAAGTACGAAATTGAAGAGCAATGAGATCCCAAAATTCCGAAAGATTTTGCCAAATAGAGGTAAGATATTCTATTCCTGAAATAGAAATATGGTCATCCCTAGATTTGTTCCATTCGATATTAAAGATAAGCATCCACTTTGCCTGGCAGAATGCATGAAAACGATGCAAAGTCTGGACTGAATATGGATGTTGAATAGAATGCCTCGTACAGATAGAGTGCCATGCCCACTGCACGTTAAAGAACCCATGTAACAGCTGTTTAATGAGCCCTAAGAGGTTTGTGAAGGATATTTCACTATCCAATGTAGCCTCATTTAATAGTAGCAGTCGTAATTCCCTCGTACCGAAAGAAGACAAAAGGGACAATCAGTACACATAAGTCGAAGAGAAAACGAAAAAAAAACATGGCTAAAAACGACGAAAAAACAAACGGCAGTTAACCAAATACTACATAGAAAACTCAAGAATGAGCAACATGAGATCTACAAAAAATCAGGTTATGACACGTGTTTGAAACTGTAAACAAGGGAATTGAAATTAAATCCTCCAAATTACAAGACGCAACGATTTCACATTAAATTACAACCTGTATCGATGAGTCAATTAAGCAAAACAAAAATAATCTGCAATATCCAGTATTTAATGGTGAAGATGGAGTCAAGTGTGACTTGATGTTCTTTTAATTTTTTATCGTTGTTTTTACTGTTTATAACATTTCAAGATCAGCATTTTTCAGTAAGTTAAGCAATTCCACACACTGCTGAATTTAAAATCAGTTTTCAATATGTTAGAAGCCTTTCCAAATTCTACTGAATTTTATCAGTTTTCAGTATGGTAGAAACATTTCGAAACGCCACTGAATTTAAACTCAGTTTCAGTATGTTGGAAGCAATTCCTTTACGCAGAATTTAAAATCAGCAATTCCACACCACATTGCCGATCAAAAACAGAACGTCGTTAGGTTTGTATAAGCCATAGGATTGTAAAATAAATAGTTTACTAATCTGATTATTGTGGGGGAAAACAGAGTAATCTATATTTCATTTTCTTGTTTAATCAGATATGAAATGAAATTCTAGTTTCCACAAAGGTTATATATGTTGAATAATGACAAAAATACATAAAAAATGTCATCAGTTTTAATTTTAGTTTTTGTTAACTAATCTGTAAATATTCTGTATCGTGCTTGGAAAAAAAGACAACAAAATAAAAACTATGTAAACTTTTCTGTAACTAGTTTTAAGATTAAGTTATATAAATTTAAGAAGTTCTTGCTGATAAAGAAATACAACAAAATCAAGAAAAACTTTTGTAGATCGAGTAAAATATGATTTTCAAAGGACGCTTCAACTATTGTCCAGAATAAAAACATCCTATACAAGTCTGTAATTTGTGAGATAAAATGTTGAACAGGAATAGCTATAATGTTGAAAATGGAATATGTGCAAGAACATATTAATTTTGTACATTAATTGCCATGATAATAACATCTTTTATCAGACTAGTTAAAGCATATACACGCCATTAGTTTATGATATATTCACACCATGAATAGAAAACGGGTATGCATAGGGAAAAAAGATTTAAACATTGAAAGTATTTAAAATGAAATGGAAAGCAAAGCCTACGTGTATGTTTATAATTATTCGGTAAATATCATACCAAGATGCAAAAAAAAACCAGTTATATTAAATAAAAAAAAAGAAATTGCTGGTTATGGCAACGAGATAGCTTCTTTTCATTGTTATTGTATCTTATTTTCATTTTAGAAGTATATTTAGTTTTTAGTGAAAGGTCTGACTGCATATAAAAGAAATAAAGCAAATAAGATACGTTGTACAAAAACTACACTGAGGACGAAACAAGGAAGAGCTAAAACACCATTTTCTTACCTGTCGCGAGTTAGCACCGGATGCAGTCATTCTCTCTGAATCAAAACTAAAGGTGACGCTTTTAGACGGCGACGGTTGAGGTGTAAGGTATGTTCTAACATTTTGATTGATTCCGAGATGGGCTGACGGTGATGGCGCTGTTGGCTGGAGAACAGTTGGTGCTGACCCTCTTCGTGTCGATCCCTTGCTGCTCGACCTTCGTCGGTTTTTACGTACAACGGTGCCTGTCCTGACCAACATTGACATGTCATTAAAGAAAACAACACATATTCCCTCAATTAAACGAGATTGTCTGTACTAATCTAAATTAAAACATGTGGCATTCAACGGAAACAGTACTTCGTACGGTAAAGTTAAGTACTAATTAGTTAAGAAATTGCAGCTGTTATTTGTCCATCAAATTTCACCAGCGGCCAAAAACAGCATCTTGTATGACTGCAGTGATTATTTAAAATCTATTTTAGGTTTTATCAATTATTAATCAATACGAAAATGAATAGCTAACTTTCCGTTTGAATACTTCTGCATTTCCTTTCGGTTACAAATTAAGGCTTAATAAATCCTCTACTGGTTCGCTGTCATCCTTATACGTCGTAAACTTATTTACCATAGGGTATTACTATCTCTCATCATGAAAACTAGAGAGAAAAATATTACTACGTGTTTTATTGAATTAATTTCCGACAGTAATATACAAATCTTTGAGGTTATAGTGTGATAAAAGCTACATATAAAAAGTATGTCCGGTACTACTAATGACGATTCCGCCTACGACGTGTCAATGATGTTCTGTTATTGAACGTGTTGATTATGGATATACATAGGTGCTTGCAATTACTTCTACTCAATATGTACCTTCAATACAGAAGAGCGAACTATAGATGATACAATCGATTTCATATTTTTCCTGATTTCGTTACACTCCATGCACTACCAGGTGGGTGTTACAAAAAGATCTGAGATAACAAATTCATTTAACACCCCATTGAATTTAATGTCATGCTCATTAAAAAACTTTATTTCTTAGAAATCATCAGTGTTGCGGAAAGACGACATGCATCTTCGGTAATTTAAATGCAATTTAATTAGATTCTTAAGGTCATATTGAATGGATTTTTCTTGATGATGTAGATGCAGACTAATTGAATGAAAAATGATCTAAGAACAATCATTTTTCTTGGATCGAATGATCAAATTTACTTATTAAGTAGAGTTTCGGAAAAAAAGCAACAACGAAATTAGTCGAATAAATTGGATTTTATTTTGTCTATTTCTTAATCAAAATAGAAAATAATACAACATACAACTTTTAAGGTTGTTTGAAAATGGTTCAAGCTTTGACAAAATAAAGAGAATTAAATCAGGACTTAGCTAACTCCTTTGTTAAATGTGTATCACAAATAACCACAGATATTTTCCTTTTTCTGTAGCAAACATTATTTCCTCCTGCCATCTGTTATGACTTTACAATATGCGACTAGACCTATCGTACTTTATATATTAACAACATGATAGGTTCTACTAGATGAACAGGAACAGCTTATCCTTCCGGGTATCCGAGTTTATCATCAGTGTTTTGTTTCAGGATTTTGTCGTGTGCACAGTCTTACATTTGTATGTTTTCCCATCTTAATTTTTCAACTACGTTGTCTTTTTTCGATTAATTGTGTTAATGCCACTACAACAGTGTCTTGTCTTTTTTTATCATTTCCAACAATCGCCAACGAGTCGATTCTTAAGTAACAATTACTGATGTAGATTTAAATGTAAAGACGCAATCCCGCAATGACAAAATTGACTACTTTTGCTTCTGTTTCGGAGCCATGCTCCTTGAATGCTTTAAACTTATTTGCCAACGGATGAAAGTTCCCGCATAATCACTAAGTTTGGAGAAAGATGCTGCATTGTGTTTATTTTAATATAATTTTCGATAGTGATAGACACATCTTTGAAATCATATAGCGTACAAATATCCTGTTCGTTGCTACTGATGACAAAGCCATTTACGCCGTATCAATTATATTTCAGTAATTGAACGTATTGGTTATGGATTTTTCAGGGTGTCTAATAAAACCTTAAACAACTACAGATAACCGAATGATTTTGAACAATGAGTAAAGGCCATACTGTAAATTAAGCTGTAAAAAGACCTGGATTAACAAAATATGAAATGACATAAAGACCGGGTTTGAGTACAATTTGTTTTATGATTTTAGTAATATTATTATGTAAAACACATCTATGGCAGACGACAACCAAAATAATTAAATCAATTCTTTATAAATTTCATTCATCCGAAGCGCTTTTATGGATAACCTTGATCAGGAACGCCCAAAGTCGAATGTTTGGATGCGAAGTATGTATAAGAACCGAAATATTTGACGAGCTATATAACAAAACACAAACCTGAGTTTTAAAGTTTTATATATTGATATACATAGAGACAATTGAAAGCAACATCACCGTCGTCCTCAATATGAACGAGAACCTAAACTAATAAAGGTAAAAGCTTGAAAAATCTTAGAAATTAAATTTACGTTTGATTTCATTACAGATTAAACTTTTTACAGCTTCAACATGTCTTGATTTAAATCTTGATCAGCTTCTATTGATCCATCACTATAACTAATTGCTATAATAGTTAATAGTTAAAGTCAATGACACATGTTCGTGAAGCAAGTGAACAACAAACTGTATGTACTGGTTACGAGTCAGTAGAACAAATAAAACAATGGACATATAAATTGTATATACACTTAAATTCATAGTAGAAAGATATATACATTTATCCTTATTAAGAAGTACCTTATTCAGTTTTGGAAAGGAAAACAAGATGATACCACAAACCTTATATAAAAATGCAAATAATAAACAAGGAAAATATAACAAAAGACAAAAAAAGGTCCACAAACTTTTTTGCATAAAAGTGTAAATTGGAGAGATCGATTTTTACCGGCAATAAACCTAGGTGTTGCAGGAAAGTACGCAGTTGTTTCAACATAACAGCGAGAATATCTGTGATAACCAGATTACAATATGCTGATGAATCTAGGATGGGATAATTTCGGGATCACCAGACTTAGTCTTCTACGATTGTTTTCAGTGACCCCAAACATCTTTACCTATGTTCTAATCTCATCAATGTATATATTATTGTCCTGCTTATCGAGAGTGAAAATTAAGTATTGAGAACTAACTAAAAACTTAATATATCGATGCAGTTGTCCCACAGCAAATTCTTAGTCAGCGTTTAACATTGTTCAGAATTAGAATATGCCTTTTAATTCCTTGAAGACTTTATAGAGACCTACTGTATTGCTGAACAGAAAAGGCCATCATATTATGGTATAACTATAACAACACGAATGAAAAAAGAAAAAAAAAACCAAATGGTAACCATAAAAGAAAACAGAAAAAAACATATTAGGAAAAAAGGAAAGAAAAAACTAATTATATTAAAAACGTGTATGTTGAAATCTGAACAAAGCAAAAGCAAAAAATACAAAAAAAACAAAAGACTGAAGTGATACATAACTTCACGTACTACGAAATTGATAAATATTTTATTGCAATCGGCACATTACGTTGATTCGAACATTACGCAAAGAAACCCGGAAATTATGTCGATACTACTTCCATGCTGTCAACTAATTCCAAACCAGTTTCCGTCATTAAGTCAGATATATTGCCATCTTCTATAGACAAACTCTAATAAGCTTTCTATGGAGTAATAGAGGTTGATTAGTGAAATCAGACTTATTAAGCTATTCAATCGTGGCTTCCCTTTATTCTGAATCCTTAACAAATTGGTCAATCAACTTTTGTTATTGGATTGAATGACTTTCCATACTACAATGTCTGAATTCAAAGTAATATGGGTTATTGGATGTCTATAAAACATATTTTCGTTCAGATGCATGTTAACAAGAGTTTCTATTCGTTCCTTTTGAAATACAGATTGAAAGGATTCTTCGAAATTAATTGAAATAATAAAATTTACAACACGAATGATTCTGTGACGACTTATTATGCCTTGTGGAAATCGTTTTTATTTTGAACAAGAAACAATAAGAGTTGGAAGTAAGCAAGAAAAAAACATCCCATGACATTCATGAACTTGAATATATCAACGGAACAGTGCTTCTATTTGTACATGTATTATATGTTTCTTTGACAGGGTTCTCAGCTTGTCAAAATTATTGCGGTTTCAGTTAAAATCCCGCTCGTGGCAAGGTGAGTTCGTCTCCCATATTAATTGACTAGGATTGCTAGTTTTTCCGGCGAAGGTCAATGATTCTACCCAGGTAATGTGGCCCCTATCATGTCTATTGTTGTCGTGATTACCGAAAGTAAAAATGAAGTGTTGGGTACTAACTGTCAATTAACATGTCGGCATAATGGAATTCTATGCGACTTTCATGCAAGTGAGAGGTTTAGCTAGCTGTGGGGCCAGGTTAATCCACCGTTTTCTACATGGGGAAATGCCTGTGCCGGCTGGGCAATATGACAGTTGTTTTCCATTCGTTTGATGTGTTTGAGCTTTTGATTTTTTCATTTGATAAATGACTTTCCGTTTTTGAATTTTCCTTGGAGTTCGGTACTTTTGTTATTTTACTTTTTATAATATTGATGCAGCTGGCAAGACCTTTCAGAATGTTTGGCCCTCAATGCTTTTCAATTTTGTACTTTATTTTGCCTTTTAACTTTTTTTATTCGAACGTAACTGATGAGTCTTTTGTAGAAGAAACGCGCGTCTGTTTTAATTGGGAGTCATTTAGTATGGGACACAATGTGGGATTATATATACATTAACACAAATGATAGCATGCCTGAACTATTTGCCAAAAAAAAAGGACTTAAGGATGTTCGCTCCTCTTGTTTTTGATTTTTTGTCAGATATTCCGAATCCTCTGGTTTTATCCATGTTTTTCCATTAAGTAATTTTGTCCACTAACCCCTACTTTTCTTTTCATAATTTTATTACATATAGTTTAAAAAGCCATATTTGAAAATCTTATAAAATCCTTGTTATTTTTTCAATGTTTTTGAAAGAAAAAAGGTGCCTATGTTAAATGTATGGAAAATCTAGAGAGAATTATTTCCCGCCAAATTTTCAATGGCTTATATCTCGAAAACAAGCACACGGACCCTTCATCTTTTTCTGCTTTTTTAGTTTCTTCATTTATATACTATCAATTTATGACAGTCTTTCAAAAAGCTTGTTATTTTGAAACAGAGTAGCGAACATCCTTAATGTCGTGCTTTGTCAAAAATGTAATACAAAGTATAGGGTGGTTACAGGCTTTGCAATATTCTCATATTCTATAAAGAATATAGCAAAAAATAGCATCGTACATGTATGTGACTAGAAAGAAAACATTTGAAATGAAAATAGAACATAGCTCTTATGAAATGTTTTAGAAGAATTATATCATCGTACTCGTTTTCTTGCTGCTTTAAAAGATAAAAACATTTACAGTACATATGACTATGTTGTCAGAGCTATCTTAATTCGAGCATCATTGATGAGTCTTGTGTAGTCGAAACGCTCGTCTGGCGTGCAAAATTTAATAAGGCTGTTTTTTTTTTAAACATACACAATGTTTTTTTTATTTTTTGTATAAAAAAAAGTCTTACGAAAAAATCAAATTTCTGCC